TAATGTGTTGTGAAGCCATTGTGAAGATGAGATGCACAAATGGGAATAGGACCAATGATAAGAGTTGGGAAAGTGATTATTGAGAAACTCCTGATCCAACCAGGAAAAAAAAAAGTTTAGATTGGAAGCATTTGTGTTAATATGCATGCCAAAATCTGTCATTTCAGAGTGAACTTCATAATATCAGTCATCTAGAGATGTGAAAGCTTGGGTCAGGACTTTGTAAAACGTGTGTATTTTATTTGTATCATTTTTATGATAACTGCTATTGTATGTATGTATGTACAGTACGTATGTGTGTGTATTAAACCGTTTGTTCATTTCATACTAAGTTTTGAGACTGACTGTAATTTCATTTTCCAGTTGATAAAAGGAAATATGTTTTAAACTATGGACATTTAAGATATGCTACTTGTATGTGTACATTTTGGCAAAAAAAAGACCACATTGTGTAATGATTTAAATTCATATAACTGGAGAGTAGTGACAATAATTGAACATAGTATGATGACAATAATGAACATGATTGTAAAAGCTGTAATTAAAAAACATACCTGTAACTTTGCCGATTTTGTAGTTTTTGCCCTACAATGACTAATGAAGCAGTGCAAATTTCCTTCCTAACTATCTTGTGCTGAAAGCTGCATGGCTATTGGAGGAAGCAGGGCATAATAAAATGCAAATTTTACCATAGGGAGCCTGATTTAACATAATGTTAGATTTAACATCTGACCTGATGCTAGTTCAAACTGATTTTCACTTTGAATGACAGATCTTTATTTTACATAGCAGTACAGGTGGATTTACATTCTATTTATGATAAACACATAAGTAATGTGAATTTTGAGATGTTTGTTAAGGCAAAATCCACTTTTATAGCTTTTAACTATTAATTATTTGTCAAAATAATGATTGAGCGTTGTCAATTCTGCTTCCGGAGCAAGTGACACTCCCTGTCCTGGAAAGAAAAGGGGCAATGAAATAACATAGGGCTTTCATAGCCCCCTCCCCGCAAGGAAGAACCTCCCTGAATCTACCAGCCCAGTAAACAGCAAATCAACTTTCTCCAATCTGCAGGGATGACGTAAATCAAACCATGATTATTTCTGCGCAAAGTTGGAAGGAAATGGACCCTTAGCAGCTAATCTGCACGGTGACAGCAACTGTTTTTTTTTGGCTAAGTTGTGAAATGTGTTTTTTACTCGGGAGAGTTCTCAGACTTGTTCTGCAGTCCTACAGAGGAGCCTAATTGCTAGAAGGGGCGATTTCATGAAACGTGCGGCAGAGCCAATAAAAATTGATACAATAAATGTCTTTCTTCCTGGTTTGAAAACAAAAATATTTAATAGTCAAATACTCCATAATATAAATGCCTTTAGTAGACCATTTAATTTGCATAACACAGAATAAATTACTGCTTTATTTTGCCTAGACAGCCCTGACTCCTACAGGGTAGAATGCATTTGCATTAACAACCAACACAAACAAGTAAAACTATATAAAAAAAGAGGGAGATTAATAAGAAAACATTATAGGCTTCATGCTGGATTTTATAACTTTTTTTTATACTTATATTAAATCTTGAATAAAATTCTTAATTTTAAAGTATTATTTGCTGAAGGGTATTAGTTTTTTTTTTTTTTATATAAAATATGGATGGGTTGGTTATCTTCAAGATATCAGTTTAGGAGGTAAGCCTTAAGATTAAATGAAAAGAAAATATTTATACTTGTCACTTGTCACCAAAATTACTAAAAAATGTGTAGAAAATGGTAAAAACTGAGCCACATAGGGCAAACACAACAATATTAAAGTATATCCCTTAAACTTAACTGACACTTCATATGTGTACTCATCTAGTGAAGAAAAATCAGGAGGTATGCTGTTTGAAATGTAGATCCCTGGCACACTGCAGTGGGATCTAAAAGCACAACTTCTTTTTTGTATTACCAAAGCTGGCTGTAATTTCCCACAGTGGCAGATGACCTCTATTAACAAAAGCCCACAAATTTTGGAAAGATTCGATAAGACATGCTCATGCACATGCACAAAATGCTGCAGCAAGAGTTCTGAAGAAAATTAATAAGAGAGATCATATCTCTCCTATCCTTGCTTCTCCTCATTGGCTTCCTGTTAGATCCAGAGTAGAATTTAAAACCCTTCTTCTCACATATAAAGCTTTAAATGGCCAAGATTCATCTTACATCAGCGATATGAAGTTCGTTATATTCCTAACAGAGCACTTTGCTCTCAATCTGCAGGTTTTCTAGTGGTTCCTAGAATTTCTAGAAGCAGAACGGGAGGCAGATCTTTTAGTTATCAGGCTCCTCTCCTGTGGAACCAACTACCAGTTTTAGTCCATGAGGCAAACACCCTGTCTACTTTTAAGGGTAGGCTTAAAACTTTCCATTTTGATGAAGCTTATAGTTAGAGGGGCTCAGGTTGCAGCGCTATCTCTGTAACTATGCTGTTATAGGCTTAGACTGCTGAAGGACATAGGGACCCCTTTTTCATCATTCTGATTAATTCTATCTCTATTCTCCTATTCTGCAGAATTTGTTAGTCTAATCTCTAACTTTATGCTCTCTATGCTTTTTCTCATAGTAGCTTCATCTGATCTGTTCCTGTTTGACTGTGACACCATCCTAGAGAGAATTATCAGCTGTGCTGCTGCCATCAACACCTTTGTTTATAGATGTTCAAGCTTGGTCTGTCCTAAGTGTAGTCCTGTTTATCTGACTGTGACTGGCTGGATGTGCTCTCTTCATTCTCTGACGTGGTGCTGGCTCTGAGCTCGTTCGACTGGCTGTGGATGGGGCTGCCTGTGGAGCTGGTTTACAGTTGCCTTTGTGTCTCTGCTTCTTTTGCTATCTCTGCCCCTCTTTCCCAAACCCCCGTCAGCCTCCACAGATGGCTGCTCCCACTGAGCCTGGTTCTGTTGGAGGTTTCTTTCTGTTGAAAGGGAGTTTTTCCTCTCCACTGTTCCTACAAACATGCTTGGTGTGAGAGATTGCCTTAAAGTCAATGAGTCGAGGCAATCTGCTGGTTTTCGGTACATAGAAGACTCTAAATCAGTTTGACTGCATGATCTGGTTAAAATGTAAAGTGCCTTGAGATGATATGTGTAGTGATTTGGCACTATAAATAAACTAAAGTGAAATGAATTTAGCTCAGACACAATAAATAAAAACTATCTGATGAATCCTCTTGCTGCGGCTAAACAGGAGGAAGTATACTGAAGAATTGGTCAATGATTTAGAGCTGTCCCCAAACATTAGCAGATAGGTGGTACTGACAATCATTATAAAAGAAATCTTTTCGTATACAGGTTAACTTTATTCTCACAAACAACACCAATGGTCACCTCGCCAGTCAAACGTTTACTTCCTGCTTCAGCTTTCCGTCACACCTGTGTTGTGTCCTTATGCATAAACTGTGCATTGTCTCTGTCCTTAACACCTAGAGCCCAGTTGCCTGTGTAAATTTTCAGTCAAACAGGCTCAAATTGGAAGGCAACCAGACTTTCGCTCAGTTGGCTCACGAGCCAACAGAATTGACAGACCCTTGGTGTTGAAACATCCTCAAAAAAACTTTTTTGCGGTGAAGAGCCCAGTTTTTTCAGAACCCTATGACAAAAACTGTTTTTATAGGATTGAATTTTTTTTTATGGATGAAGAAAAGTTTTTCACACCCCCCCCTTTCTTCCACAGAGGTCATCAATGTTTTTTGCTTAGACGATAATGTGCAGAGCATGTTCATTTTTGTTAGTACCAATATATCTGCAGTATTCCTGTAAGAGGTTGTTTTGGGGCTTTTTTTTTTTTTTTTTTAAGAAGAAAACAGTCGGTTTGGGAATTACCATGGAATATTTCCTATTGACAAACACTACACCATCACCCATATATGGCAGTGTCTTCCTGTTTTAGTGTGTATGACGGTGCAGGATTTTTAAGATGCTTATGTGCTTTGAAAATGGAAGGCAACGGAAAGACTGACTGTGATTTGTTTCTCATATATATTTGTATCCTTTCTTTCTCTTTTACATAATGAAATATTTTGCATTGCAAAAATACCAAAACATTGGAAGCATCAATGATTTAAACACACTATCATAAAACAAGTAATGATGCAATGTGAAGTGTTATTTTCGATGGATGCCAGGCAGCGTTTCTTAACCATTAAGTTTACAGTCTGACGTGCATCCTCTCTCTGCTGTCTCCACAGCTGCAGTCCTGTAAACACTTTGAAATTTGTTTCAACCCACTCCTTCCTTCTCTTTCTCTCTAAAACACCAATACATCAAACAGAATAAACACCATAAAGTCCAAAACATAGCCTTCGTCACTTCTTCTAATATTCATTTGCCACCTTTTGATCCAGCCCATGACGCAGAGGGATGTGCTAGCGTGATATCTTCTTTTTTTGGTTTTGAAATGTGTTTATTTTTTCAAGTGCACGACAGCAGGGAAAGGCACGTAGGTTACGGTAAATGTGTGAATGTGACAAAAGGATTTACCTCACTGATGTGAGTTAGTTTGAGGTTTGTGGAGTCACATAGCTGTGTGTTGAGGTAACATGTAGAACATTTTAAATAAACAGTGACGCGGGAATTTTCAGAATGTATTGCATATGTTAAAGCATTTCACTTTAGGATATTTGGAAATTTTAAAACAAGATTAATAAATTTTATATTTTTATAAATTGAAATAGACATGATTTTTCAAAGTTGTTAAACAATATGACTGAACACGTGTTCCACTCTGCTCTGGATCCAAGTTTAATAGGCATATGTAAAAAGGTGTGACTCATACATTCTCTTATGAAGTTGGACCTCCTTCTCCTAACTGCTTTATAAGAGCACCAAACTTCCTTGACTTTAGAAGTTCATCACACAGACTCAAGAATTTCATATTTATTATTTATTCTTAATTTATTTTGTTTTTATTTTCAAGCTATTTATGATCAATTTTCTTCAACATTTCCTTTATTCCTAATTCAAAATGTTTTTGTTTCTTTATAACCTGTTTTTCTACCCGTTTCCCATCCTTGTTCTTATCCTGACATTTCCAATTTCCTGGTCATTTTATCTCCCTGAATCCAACCCAATCTTTGCATTCAGTAATCAGCACAGAGAGGTCCATCTCTATACAGGTATGTAAAGTATTTGCTTCTTCATTTTAGTTGTATTCAATGCTTAATATAGAAATTTGATTCTGGAACAGTAATGAGAAGATTTTTTTAATTTTCTTTTATACTAAATATGTGTATTCCTTTCCCTCCTTAATTTTTGTTGCAGAAAATCACAGGCATGGGCTGTATTTGCAGATAAACCTGGATGGGAGAGTGACTGGAAGTGATGCTCAGACCCCATATAGTGAGTAACTAAATGATTAAAACATTATATTTGTAAAAACATGATTTTTTTTTTTGCACCACTTAAAAATAATGTGAAAAAGCCTACAGAAAGAAATACTCCAAACTCAAATAAAAAAATCATTTTGAAAATAAAAAAAAAGTTTGAATACATTTATCAATAGAAAACGATCAATTATTCTCACAGTATAAGTTTAACTGAAGCAATTGTTAAAAGATTATATGTTTCCAATTTTCAAATTTATCAGACTGGCTGGGAACTTTGAATTAAAAAAAATCAAGACTTTCTTCTTTTATATAAATAAATATCTGTTAAGTACAGGAATTTTAGCTTGCCATCACACTCAGAAATAAAGAAAGAAATCTCCAATATATGAAACTGAGCAAATTTCTCTTTTCCAGGTGTGTTGCAGTTAAAATCAGTTAAACAGGGCCATGTTGTCATAAAGGGACATTCATCATCCATGTTTCTCTGCATGGATAGCATGGGAAATCTAAGGGGGCAGGTAAGATAAAAGAGAATTCAAACATGATCAATTTTTGACTCTTTTCCAGTCCTCTTTCTTTGACTTATTCAATTCAATACCATTTCATTTCAGAGAGCATATGAGGAAGCAGACTGCTCCTTCAGAGAACTCCTGCTGGCTGATGGCTACACCCGTTTCCTTAACTCACACAATGGGATCCCTTTATCCTTGGCAGCTAGAAATTCTCCTGATCGACACTCAGTTCCTTTCACAAGATTCCTACCTCTAAGGAATACTTTACCAATGGAGAATGTTTCTGAGGAATCAACAAAAGCTCAGAGGAACTTCAACATAGACTCTGAAGACCTTTTTGGGATAGGACAGGACACAATGGTCAGTCCTCAGCAATTTATGGATAAGTAAAATTTGACTGCAAAAAGAAAAATTAGGGTTGTTTGGGATTTTAACTTTGACACATGAGTTGACTTTATTTATTTTTCTTGTTGCTGTTATTATTATTTGTTTTTCAGAATGTTTCAGTGAAATTTATTTTAACTTAAGTTATTTATTTATTTAGTTTATTTTTTATTTAAATATTGTTGAAATTCTAATTTATTGAGTGAATATTTTACGTCTTTAAGTATTTTTTTTTTTAAATATTAACCATATCAATTTTTGCTTCCCAATTTCCTACTCTGGGATATTGTTTGCACAGTTCAAGCCTTTTCCTTCTCCCTCAGCCTGCAAGTACATTTTCAGTGCAAATTAATATAATCCAGAAGATCATTGTGATGTCTATTTTACCAATATACAGCTAAAATCATCACTTCTGAGCTGCTGCTCACTCATTCCCTGCACAGTAGAGGAAAAATGTCTGATGTGAAAGCAGGACTGCCCTCTAGTGGATGAAATTTTAAAGGAAAGCAAAGCAGCTCAAAGTTTGATTTTTGAGTTTCAAGCCAATCTGCATGATTGCTTTGCTTACATAGGGTAAAAACATATGATAGCTTCCTAGTTTACATAAAGAGTAGCAGCTGCATATGTCTGAGAAGTTCAATGTGTCCCATCCCACGCTTGAAGCTGTTGCAGAACTTTAGAGGTACTTTAGTGATAGCCTGCTTCATCACAGGTTCACAGAGGAGTAATATACCAGACTCTTCCTCCCAGCAGCTGTTAGACTTTATAGTCATCACTTATCCTAACAAAATCAGTTAATGTTTACAACCTTGTTGTTAATTGCACTGTTTTTCCAATTTGTAAATAGTCTGAAGTTGTTGTTTTTTTAAATTGTTAATACACACTTTGTACAGTTTTTGAATTATTCTACTTTTGAATTTGAGTATTTTATCTTTAGAAGCTGGACAACATTTTTTTTTCTACGGTTCCCACACTTTTCAGTCTTGCTTTTTATTTAACTTTTTTTTTTTTTTTTTTACCTTTTGTGTGAATGTCTCCTTTCACTTTCCTGAGGCTTAACTTGAATTTCCATATAAAGGCAAAGTAAGGTGCATTTATATTATGTTTTATTCTTGAAACTCCTTTTAGTGTCCTGAACCAGGAAGAGAAAGAGAAATCTTTAACGCAAAATTGTAAAACAAGCTCAATTTCACATTTAAGGTAAAAAATAAATGAAAATACTCTGTTCCGTAACCTCTGGATATCATGGTTTCTATTCTTTTTTCCCCCTTGGCTTTATTTTTAAAAGAACACTAAATATACAGACTTCCTTTCCCTCAAAACAACCAAGGCAATGATTATAGAGAGATTTGGCTTTTTTAGTCATTTACCAGAAAAAAATGGTTAACCTTTTGTTTGTTTGTTTGTTTGTTTGTTTGGAACAATACAAAACAAAATGTAGGTTACCCCATCAGCTTCAGCTTCATCCATACTTAGTCTTATATTTTAAAGCCTAGAGAAAGTCAAATGTTGTTGCAGACTCAAAACCCCACAATAAAATTATTAGTATTATCCAAGGGTAATGATCATAACTAGTTAATTTTTTATGTCCTCGGGATATAAAAGTACTCTTACACAGAAGCCTTTTTCTTTAGGCTACTGACAGTGAGGCTCTATGAGATAAACTGTTTTGTCTTGCACAAAATAAAATGACAAAACAGTAAAATAAACAAAAAGCAAATCTGGTGTGAACAGCAAAAATATATGCATTTATTTAGAAGAATATTAGGACCTAGCATTTTTATTCCTGCAATCTAATTTTGATGATTGATGAGCTAGGCTTGTTTTAAAACAACTGAAGAATATCAGAAAATGTCTGATATCACGGTCTGTTTTCATCATCCAGAAAAAAGACCATAGAGGAATGGTGACCCTTTTGGAAATAACTCTTATCCACCATATTGGCTAAATCAACACACCTGTTTTTGCCAGACACAAATCATTCCTTTCCATGGCCTTTGCAGCCCCCAGTTCTTTACATAAAACTATGCGACCCCTTTTGACCAATTGAAGATTCACAGAACTTTCATAGCAGACTTACCAGCAACAATAGCGCTTATGATTTTGTTAAATGCAATAATTACTCATTAAGAATACCCAAAAGAACTACAGACCTACTCAAATAAAAATAAAAAAATCATTCCTGTCTGTTTTTGTGTGTTGTGTCTTGCAAAAATAGTTATGGCTTATAGTTATAAGGCTTATTACATAGATATCAGTGGTGCAAAGAGGGACACTTCTCACTATACATTACATGAGAGATGGTAGTCACTCTGCTGCTATGAGAAAAGACATTTCTAAACTATCTTTTGAAAAACAAATAACATTGTTCATTGATCTAAATTTGTGTAATGAAAATCCCTGTAATGTTGAAAATCATCCTGCTTTTCCTTCTTAACTCATCTCCTTCTGCAAGCAAGAATCTGGACTTTATCAACCAAAAAAACTAATTTCATCTGTGCGGCCTTTAATGGCTGTTACACAAACAATTTACAGCTAGTTACTAAAGTGGTTTATATATGCAGCATTACAATAGTCTGGATACCCTTTGTTGGTCGTTCTGTGATGTAATGGAAATTCTGATGAGTTGAATTGAAACAGAAAGGAACAGTGTTAAAACTTATTTGGCAACACCAACATACAGCAAAAGGTCAGACACAACTGCCTGTAAATATTTATATATTTTTCTTTTATAATGAAATAAAAAAGTACAATTTTCAGTTGGCTAATAGTATATTTGCTAACAATAGCATACATTAATAGCATAAATTTTTCATCATATATTTTTAAGTTAACCACCCAAAGGAGACAACAGCTTTCAAGAAAATTGATAGAATAGCAATCTTGAATAAAAACATTGAGCAAATAAAGCATAAATTAAATATATTACTTCCATTGCATAGCAAACCTACATATACAAAAATCCTGTAATTAAAATAACAGACAAACTAGGTCTTTCTATACTTTTACAAAAGAGTGCTGAGAATGTGGATTTGGATCAGGACAGATCCCAGTCTTTCTTCTGAGGCAGCTTAACAACTGATTGGCTGAGTTCTGATATGGTGTAACAATCAAATATCTTGCTTGTACTTCAACCCTTAAAGTAAAAATAAATAAGACGTCATAGTTTCAAGGCACATACTTTCTCAAAGTCTTTGTCTTATAAATGTTATTTTGATACCGTTACCCTGAGAATAAAAAGTTGCTAGTATGCTAGTCTGAGCTGTTTTATGAATATATATATATATATATATATATATATATATATATATATATATATATATATATATATATTATCTCCAGATATATTTAGCTGGGTTTAGGGGATAAAATTGCAGTTAAGGAAAAAATAGAACCAACACAACATTTTCGGAGGTAATATAACTGCCCACTGTCCTTCTTAAGGTATTCAATGGAGTTTAAAAGAAGTCCCACCTGTCCTTTCACTTGTTATAAATAGCTTTTATATAACACTTCGGTGCTGTTTTTGTCTAAGGATACAAAGCCCCACTCTACCTAAACCTGTGTTACTAGCGGTTCCCTCAGATACATGTTCCCTCCTGTGTACTCTGCCATCTGGCCAGAACATAGTCCGCCAAGTAAAGTCCCATTCAGAGGGTTGCATATGCCTTCACTGGCATAAAATTCCTGATCTTGATCCCTATCCCCTTCCTCGTTCTCCTCTTCTTCAGGCTCCTCATCTTCCCATAGGGAAGTTTGAACGTGAATGTACTCAGTTCGATCTTCACATTCCGTCTCTCGGTGGTAGAAGTAGCTGAAGTTGGAAACAATGACAGGCACAGGCAGGGAGATAGTAAGAACACCGGCAATGGCGCACATAGAGCCAACCATTTTACCCCACACTGTTGCTGGGTACATATCACCGTACCCCACAGTGGTCATTGTGACTACTGCCCACCAAAAGCCGTGTGGTATACTGACAAAATCTGTTGTATGGTGGTCAGCTTCTGCGAAATAGACAGCACTAGAGAAAATTATGACTCCAATAAACAGGAAGAAGATAAGTAGGCCGAGCTCACGCATGCTGGCCTTTAGTGTCTGACCAAGGATCTGGAGCCCCTTGGAATGCCTAGACAGTTTGAAGATCCTGAAGACCCTCACCAACCTGATGACTCTGATGATGGCCAAGGATGTGGTTGGAGATGCGTCATCGTCTTTAGCGAGCTCAGTTCCAAGGGTGACAAAGTATGGCAGGATGGCGCTAAAGTCAATGATGTTCATGACATCCTTGAAGAAGGTGATCTTGCTTGGAGCACAAGAAAAGCGCATGATGAGCTCAAAGGAAAACCAGCAAATACACATGGTTTCCACCATGAAGAAGGGGTCGGTGAAAACACTTGGAGTGGGAGGCATGTTCTCAGAAGAATTCTTAACCTGGGGGTGATAATCCTAGAGAGGAACAGACAGGAGATACAGCAACAACCTGAAACATTTTCCTGTGTCCAATGAAGAACCAACTAGATTGACAAATAAACAATAACATAATACAATACCAATTAAATGACAATTAATGGCTTTAAAATCATAAATAAATCACCATAAATGGCAAAAAGTAAAAAGAGCTTAGAAAGACTTGTTTCTTAAGCAATGGATTGATTTCATGTAATGTCATTAAATTGTATGTGGCCATGTTGGTGTATGGCAAACACTAATAAATGCTAGTAAGTGCAATTCTGTGCTGCAACTCGCTATACTAAGGCCAACAAGTAAAGTAAAAGTGCTAACCTTCAGCAGAGGAAATTGCTTTAATAACGTAAACCAGCTACATTTTTATAAACCATCGACAATTTCTTGAAAATCAAGAAGAGGGGTGCCGTGAGCTGTTGAAGCTAATGAAAAGGAGGTACCTTTAGTAAGGTACATTAAATCCTCCAGGCGAAGGACGAAAAGTGGTGGGGCAAGCACTTAACAGTTTTTACTTTTTTAACCCTTTTTTACATTTCTCTCTCTTTTTAGTTAGTCTGATCCTGCAATCTGACTTTTTTCCATGAAAATTTGTCTTTAAAATATTCCATACAACAAAACTAGTCAGTCAAAAACTGCTTTACTAATCCCCTAGGAGTGTTTCACACATGACCACCACTTCTGAAATTTGATGACATCACTGAAAACAATCTGTTAGCAATGTTCATGCTAAGCTATGTCAACTAGTAAGATGTTTTCTGGTTCTGTACAAATGTCTCATGACCTACATGGGCTACCATGTAAATACACATTCATTACTAAAATATATCCAGTTCATCTAGAATTTCCCAAGAAGCTCTACTTATATTTTGTATGTTACTGATGGTTAGATTTGGTTCCTTTAACATGCTAATTATGTTTTACATTTGTCAAACTATCAGGAACTCGTTTCCCTCAGGCCACATGCTGCTCTATCTGTCAGGTTATGTATCTTCATATTTCGGCACAAGATAATATGATACTTGAAACCTCTCTTAATCACCATCAAGTCAAAAGTATGGTGATGTTTATAGCAAATTTAGAGCAATATATCTGGCAAGTTTTATATCTACACATAAAGATTTTAAAAATCCTAAACAAATCAGGATTATTGATGGTGACTTTCAGTAGCAGGTTAGGGACAGTGTTTATTACTAACGCTGGATATCTACAGTATGTGTTGATCCACTCCATGTGCCTCCCAAGTCTAAATATAGCTCCTTAAAGCTCTCTACAGAGAAACATGAGTGTCTTCCTCCACTGCGCCTCATCCATCTACACCTTTATCGGTATTCCCATCTCCCTGTGTAACACTGCCAGTGCAGTCGAGTGGGCGTACTGTCCGGACAGACAGGAGTAGGTTACAGTAGTTTCCTGGCAGAAACCGCGGCTTGGCACAGCACAGCACAGCACTCCTGGAGGAATGTGATAACATGACCCAGTGTATCGTGCTCATCCTGGGAGACCTTTCTCTCATTGGTTCAAAGCCATCAGCAAGCTTTGGCTAACCCTTGCTCATGTGTACGGTCATTTGTGACCTTTCATTAACACACTTAACTGTCCCTTCACTCGGCCTGTATTCTAGTTCCCAAGTGACACTTGCTGTACCCTTCCTGAATCCATATCAGATTTAACAGCCGGCTAAAATACTCACACCCTGAGCTTCCTGCAGACTTTCTCTGGTCCTCTTCCAGAACTATTGGCCAAAAGCTTTTCGTGTCAGTATTTTTCCTTCTAACACACCGTGGCGAATCTCCAGCAGAGAGTGTACCTGAACACCTGTTTCACATGGATTCAAGTTTCCTTTGACCTAAATAGTCAAACATATTCCGTTTAAAACACTATACCCCAATGGTTTGATATGGAGGCAATTAACCGAGCAACATTTGGCTGTTAGAGTTTCTTCGGCTCAGACACCATTGCTATGAATGTTAGATCGTGGATACAATAATGAATAGGTCAGTTAGGTGTTTAGCCAGTGAGCCTTTCTTAGAAAAGGCTCACTATGTGATTAGTACATATCTGCCAAGTTTGACTCGAGGTGTTAAAAAGGATTACTTAAATGTGATTCAACTAAATAAAAACAGAAAACAAAAGATCATATTTGTTTTGACATCTGTTACTATCAATTACTTAGTTTGGTTTGGATAGTGTTATGGTAAAATAAATCTATTTCTAAAGTTTTGTGAAAAAAGTGACAATTTTTCTGTTTGCTATTTGAAATTCAGAAAGGAATGTAGAATTTAAGTAATATGTGACATTTGAGCTTGGCAAGACTAATTATCCTGATAATTATTTGAAACTACACAGGTTTGTTTTAGTGGCATCCTTAATTTGTATTTCATTCTTATGATATTTTATATCTCCTGCTTCCATTTCTTACTGGTTTACAAACAATTTTTCACTTTTGTTTTTCTATTAAAATGTTTCTGATTATTAAATATTTTCAGAAATTAGAGCTATAGACTGACATAAACAATTTCTCATTTAGTTTAAGCAGACTATACCAATGATTGTTTTTACTGTTAAACCTTATGTAACGTTTTCTTTTAATCCATGTTTATTAGGATTCTTAATCAGAGCAAAATAACATATATATATATATATATATATATATATATATATATATATATATATATATATATATATATTATATCACATAATTATATTTTCCTTCAGTAGACTAAATAGAAAATGGCTTGTAATTGTAACCTTGCACAAGCAGGGACATTATTTGTTACAATAAAAATCAGCTGAAATTACAAAGGAAGTAAAAATTTGAGGAGGAAATCTCCAGAACTTTATATTATGTGGGTACTATATGACTTGTTTGACAATAATACTAAATGGGTGTTATAATGGGCAAATTGATCTAAAACCTAGAAATAAGAAGAAAGTATACAAAGGATGTTAAACACATGTGAAGAGATCTAAACACAGTTTTAGAGAATCTTCAGTGTATTACTACACATTTAAACTTGAAGGATACCACTATATTTTAGGATTCATCATGAGGCTTTCTAATTTTCAGTTGCTTATCTTTGGCTCACTATGAAACAGTCTATATGAAAACTTAACCTAAGTTGTTTGGTTTCTTACTCTTTCCTGTCCTGCAGGTGTAACCAAAGATAAATCCATCTTTTAAATAAGAAATGCTTAGAATTTATTATTTCTAGGCTACCTAAGTGTAAAAATAAACCAAACTCATACTTTAAACTATTCTTTTCCAAACATGTGGTAGAGAACATTTTGTTCCCAACCTCTTTCTTGAAGTCGGGCAGCGTTTCCAGGCAGAAGATGAGAATGGACAATACTATCACCATCACACTTATGATGGCAATGATACGGGCCCCCGATGAGGACTCAGGGTGCTCAAACAACATCCACAGTTTTCTCTGGACCTCATTGGTTGGCAGGGGCCTCTCTTCCTCCTTAGGAAACCCCTCGTCTTCCTTGAAGCGGTTCAAAATATCTTCTCCCAGCTCGTAAAACATCAGCTCATCCATGAAGATGTCCAGGGGTATGTTTGCAGGCCTGCGGAGCCTCCCCCCTGATTGGTAGAAGTATAGGATGGCATCAAAGCAGGCTCGGTTACGGTCCAAGAAGAGCTCGTTTCGAAGCGGGTCAAAGTAGCGGGATCTCCGCCTGGGATCCCCGAGCATGGAGTTTGGAAACTGGGCCAAGGTGCGAAGCTGGGTTTCATAGCGCATTCCTGAAACATTGATGGCCAATCTTTCACTCAGAGCCCATCCGTTCCTACACAGAGGCCCTGAACGTCGCCGCTCTTTCCTCTTCTCACTCTCATTGCTCTCCTTCTCTCCCTTCTCCTCAGTGTTGAGCTGGTTCTTCAGGTGTTTGTCTTTTTCTGTGTTCCCTTCGTTCCCTCTGACCTCTTCTTCATATCGCTCCGGGTCCCCACTTTCCATCCCTGCCTACTCAGAGAACTTAGCCAACCCCTTTCCCGAGACTTCGTAGACTAGCTGCACTTCAAAGTGGACTCGGTCTAAAACCAGATGAATAGAAGAACCATGAATTGGATTTCTTATGACAGAAGTTACAGATAGTAACAACACGTTTAGATACAGTTTCTTCAGATTTTATTTAAGAGGGAAAAATACAATAAGCAAAGTTAGGAGAGAGTTAGTGTGAAAAGAGAGTCTACTCACTATTAGGAAAAAGAGCTTCTGAAAGGCACTAATGAGAGGATGAAGAATCACATTTTACGTCTCCTGCTGCTCATCAAGTAATCTGTCTTTTTCCCTGTCATCATGTATGTCACATAAATAAAATCCTTGCTTTGGCTCTGCTTTTAGCCGAGTCGGTGGTCCTCTTTGTCCAGCGAGAGTCACGGATCAGACTGGTCACAACCTCTGCCACCAGTTGTTTGCTCAAGGAACATCCAGGATCATGCCCTGTCCCTCCGTGCACGAAATGTTTTAGGAATGCTGCCGTGTTGAAATTAGATCCTTCACAGACCCCTCCACCACCTCCCTGTCCTGTCCCTTCATTTCAGCCATGAAGGATGACAGCCTTCCACCTCCTGATCAAATGACACCAAGCCTATCACAGTGGGGTGCTTTCAATTCATTTGAGGTATAACCATATCAAAGCCAAGTTTTTGATTATAAACTCAAGTAGTTTTTTTTACAAACCAGTTAGATTTTTAAATGTTTTTCATTTCAATTTAGAAAGAAAACGTATGTCACTTTAACATCAGCACAGATGTCATGATGATTTGACAGAAATCATCAGATTTTCTAACGATTTGTCAGAAAACGTGCCAGGTTCTCTTGGCAAACTCAAAAATCTTTTGAAACTATTTAAACATCTTAAAGTCATCATTGCTCCGGTTAATGCAGTGCTGACTTGTGCTGCCTCAGATTAATTCAGTAGTTATTTAAAATGTAAACTTCCATTCACATTCATTTCCACTCCTTTGCTAAGAATGATTAAAATCTTAATTAATCTCTTATAGGAGCTTTATAATCTCCTTCTAAAAAAATAAGTGAAAAGCAAACTTTGTTTACACTAAAGAAATCGCCTTCCATTAATCTTAATAAAATATTCAAACACAGATTATAAATTATGACTTTTCTTTTAATTAAATCAGACAGAGAATCAAGGGATTTGTGTTTTGTAATGAAATACCTTGTTTCCTTTTGGTATTGCTATGATCCAACACACTGACTCATCTCTTTTTAACACCGGTCCCCAAGTTTATATCTTGCCGACAAACACAGTGTGCAGAAGTCAAAAGAGTCTTACAGTGGAAGCCCCCTGTTAGAGAGTGGGACTAAATATTTACATGTTAGGCTACTTAAGCCTGCAAAAAAAATATTATGAGTTTTCCACTTACCCTGTATCTCTGGAGAGATGCCATAGAAAGGCTTTCTGTTCAATCAAGGATGTGAAAAAGCAAAGTTTGCTGAACTGCATTGTGATGTTAACTGGAACCATATGTCTGAGTCATGCAAGAAGAGCTTTTTCCTTCATTTTTTCCTGTTTGGTTTTATTTACTGCCATTGTCTATGCAATATGGTCCAAACTCAGAATTGAATGTCTGTATTTGGAAACATACATCTTTCACGCTAACAAAACATTTTTCCAAAACATAGTTGTGCTTGATGCTGTGCAAGAGACTTTCTAGACAACAATCGTTTAGACAGTGAGACAGCTAAAATCTGACAAATTTCAACTGCAGCTCATCTGCACTGTCAGCTATGGCGCAGGCTCCCGGGGAAAATACATTGAGTGAAATACTACCAAATTCACTGGTTTTAATGGCTTCAAATACAGATGGTACATTCCACTGCTTGAGGTCGGCACCAGAGATCACTTATATGTCGCTATGCCTTCAAATTTGGGTGCCAGCATCTCTTTCTTCTTGTTTGAGTGTAAATACCACACTTTGACAGGGAGAGACTGGCATTAATGTTTGCAGATAACTTTCAGTGATCCACCAGCAAAACAAAAACATCTCCTACTCATTGTTGAACATGGTGGAGGAGCTGTATAATCATGTGGTTGTGTCCCCACCAGTATGGGGTCTTGAGATCCTCAAAAGAAATTAAACTGAATAAAAATGATAAAAGACGATGCACATTTATGTGTTTAAAGACATTAAAACATAACATTTAAAAAAATAGTTGATGATGCTGTTTAATTACTATGATACCAATAGTTTATTTCGAAAAAACATTTATATTCCAACCTATAGTTTGAATCATGACACTATTTTGGTTCTATTTTATTGTTCAGAAGCAGCAATGTTTAGGAACCTCAGCAGCTCTCTTTGAAATAACAACATTTTCCATAAAAGTCTGGTGGCCTGTGCAAGTACAAAAACATGCAGCGATAGATAGACGTAGTTGATCTAATAATAATAGGTTATGCAATTATTTGTTAAAACTCATTCTGACCATATTTGATTTAAATTGTCATCAAGTTATTGAAAAAATAATAAATAAAATAATAATTAAAAAAAATATATCCAAACCCACCAAATTTTTTGTGTGTGAGAACACTCAGTGAAATCATTGCTTCATACAAAGTTTTTTTTTTTTTTGCTGTTACCTGTACATAAATCTTACCTTCAGATATAACTGCTAATATGGAATGATGTATAAAATATTTAAGAAAAAAAGGTAAATAGGAAAAAAACCTGAAAAACTAAAATAAAAAATAAAAATTATAGTTAAGCCCCAAACTTTTGATACTATTGAAATATTAAGGTTTTTATATGACTAAGTTTTTTACTTTTAATTTTGTCAACACATGGTTTAGTCACTATCCAGTCTCAAAGTTAAATGGTTGATGGAGAATTTACAGAGAGAGCTGAAAGATTGAAATTATGGTAAAATCACCTTTAAACCTTTTAAAACCTGGACTATTTTCTTGACTTCTGCTAAATAAAATCAACTATTATGAATAATTCTGGCCATAATGTTTGTTATCTTATGAGAAACTTAACAATTTGGCTGTCTTATCGTGTCATATTTTGCTAGTTTAATTGCTGAACCTTCCTTGTATAGCGAAAGGAGCAACCTCAACACTATTTCCCTTTGTTTTTAAAAATATTTTAAACTTAGAAAGATCAAACGTTTTACCTGTTTCAACTAAATATATTTTTAAAAATGTAAAACTAAACTCACAAAATCCAACATTACCATCATTTTCCACCAGAGGGAGATGATGCTTTGCAACAGTTGAGCTAAAAAGCCAAGAGGCTAGGGGCGACATTTCCTAATAGCTGGCTTCATTCATAGAAAATATACACTTCTGCTTGTTGATAGACTTAATGCAGTCTGTCTCCAAACAACCTGCTGGGGTTTGATTGAATATGCTTAATACAAGGCAAAGACTTGTAAATGGAGGCAACAAAGAAATCCAAAATGGATATTTCAAAGTTCTTGTAGCCACAGACATCAATCAAGACCTAAATCTAATAGAGAATCTCTTGTATTAAAGTCTTCAAAGTCCTTTGATGCTCTTTACCCAGTTTGATCGATTGGAACCATTTTGTGAATGTAAAAAAATAAGATAAAACTCTCAAAGAGGAAAGCTGTTAGACCTAAAAGACTGCAGCTGTATTTGTAGTGACAGGTTGTAGTATAAACATGATATAATAGAAAATGGTCTAGTAGTATAAATACCTTTATAGAGCACAGTATCTCTGTAAACTATTATGTGTTTGTGCCAAAAGGTGGAGTCTTTTAAAAGCAAATCTTATGGACAGTTTAGCTTTTTATACAAAAGAGAAAAGGTGCATTAGATCATCATCTTACCCCAAATTCTCCTAAAGAAGTTACAAATTAATTTCAAGATCTCCCTTATGCTAAACTCCAAGGAGATTTAACAGCCTCTTAGAAATGACCTCAAACATGTCACTCTTTTGCATCTTGAAAGACTGAATATTTGTTGCCACCTCATTTCAAGCCTGGTTATATCACTCAGTGCTCAGTGGTCTCCCTACTGCTGTCAGATTGCTAAACAAAGTTAACTGTAATAGTCGCTTCACAATGTCACAGCCTTCCCAGTCAGTATCCATGACAGCATACTTATTTTGTTTGGAATAAGTCAACTTCAACAAACTGACACACAACTGAGATTACTTTTTCATTTATTTTAGGTCGATCTCAGTTATTTTTAAGCAATTTCATTGTCTCTGAAAAAGCATCTCATGACTTATTCATTCAAGCTGCAATGCAGGTTGGTTCACATTAGATCGCATTGACATTCATACATTTTAAGTCTCAATAGTAGAAATATGTTCAATTATGACACTTTATTGATATGTTTCTATTTTTTTTTACTCTTCAAAATATAAAAAGATAGATCATGAACATTCCATTGAAATATACTTTTTACAGTTCTTGATGAGTTGTTCTTCATGCCCCAACATTTCAAAAATGAAATCCGGCATAAGTTATAACCTGGCGTTCTAGTGACCACCTCTTGTCCCCATTACGCTCCGTTCAAGACCACAGTACAATGGACCAGTACCTAAGTCTGTTTTACACAATAATAGTATGTAAAATGAATCTTTGGGATGCTTATGTGGGTGTACGATGCGTTAAATTAGACGTCTTTAAGAGGTTTGGCTGTTGTCATATTTTCTAATTAAAATAACATTTAATATATCAAAAAACTATATATAATGTGATAGAATTTGCTCTAAGATAACTCTTTTCTTATCAATTTTAAAATATTTTTTTTTTTAGATATATGTGATTGCTATGTTAAACTATGGAAAGCCACAGCGCCACTCCATAGGTATCTGAAAACATCTAGACTGATGACAGTACATCTGTGTCTCAGGGAGCATACAGTAAGTGTCAATCAGTGGCATTCATGGTGTGGATTGCATACAGTGTCCTCAAACAAAAATAGACATGGTGAAAACATTTCAGAAGAGAGAAAAAAAAACATGCAAGTAAACTAAACAGGATGCCATAAAGGATATGTTGTGCAAGGACCATGTGACATCCTCTAAATATCTGCAGAGGATATATCTGGCTAACACACAAACACAAAGTAGCCTTGAAATATTGTGTAAAGCATTTCTGTTCTTTTGATAAGGACCTTTTTTGTATTTTCTAACAGAAAGAACCTTTAAAAATAAAACAGACTTAGCACAATCAACATTGTAATCCATTCTATTCACTGAGTTTAAATTAAATGGCAGTATTATGCATTTGGAAAAAAAAAGACATCTTTTTTCAGGGTACCACTGGCAGACATATTCCCAATGTGGAAAACAAAGATATGGCAAACCTAACTAACACTGGAGAGCAGTGGCATAAAATTAAAATACCACCTGGTCGGAAAAAAAAACAAAAATTTTTTCACAAAGAGTTGGGTGAAGCACAAAGTTTTCTTTTGCCGGTTTGCACGCCGCCTCTGAAAAACCTCTGTGGCCATCCAAGCTATGAGAACCTTCCCAAAGGGAAACTGAACATGTTTTAAAAGGGATGTACTCTGAAACATTTTTTTTTTTTTTGTAAATAGAGAAAGCTCTTGACCCTGTAAAACCTGCGCAGACTCATCAGAACTGTTGAACGCTCTCTGTAGTCTACATCACAACATGTTCTGGTGGGTTTCCAACTGAACTGTTCAAGAAATGGGCCGAGGACCATTCAGCTGCCTGAGCTAAACCCCGGACCAGCGGGGCCTGAAACTCACTTGGAAATCAAAACGAAAGGAGAGGTTCTCAAAGACCCCTCAACACTCAGATCCCCCGTCTTCCTTCAACTTCATTATTTTTATTGTCATCAGCCTCCCCCAGGTGGACACAGCTAACTCTTACCCTTTCTGTCTCCCCTTCTGACATCATTTTGGAAGCTCTGGGTCTTTTTGATTGGTGCTTGCATGACTGCGTTGTGCGATGCGATGAGCTAGCCAGTGAGATGACAAGTACTCCACCATACGGTAACGACAGATGCTATGACCTGTTCTTTAAAAAAAAAATAAATGAAGACAAGCTACCTATACACACTCATGCTGACACTGTGAGTGTGAGTAGTTTTCAGTTGCCTCTCAGAGGAAGACTTTGCTGTTCTACAACACGGCACAGTGTTTATAAAGTTATCAGGACTGGAATCATGACAGGAACCATGACAAAAGGCTGAGGGGAAATGGCAAGACTCTGTTCCCCCTTGAGAGATTATCAAGTCATAATGCATGCTTTTTTTGTTTGTTTTTTCTTGTTTTTGTTTTTTTTTATCTTTAACACATCACTGTGAGGTGTTCACATTATGTTTCTATATAGTAGAATTTATTATGTTAGAAAGAAAATAGCAAAAGACCTACATCCACACACACTATCAGCACACCTGAGTCCCTAAGCCCACTCTCTAACCTTGGAAAATCAGTTAGTACCATGCAAACTTAAAATCTCTGACTCCTTGCCGTATTGCATCTTTTATCGTCTTATTGGTCTTCCTGTTCTTCTGCAGAGGGCCAGACAGCTATCTCTGCAAATGAGGCATCCAAGGCTCTCAAGAATGTCTTTAACTCCAAAGCTATGAAGGTATGTCAAAGGACTCCATTTTGATCTGCTACAGTCGTGACAACTCTTGCCTTATTGCCAAAGAAAACAAACAAACTATGATTGCTAATCAAGCTTTCACAACTGTGACATGGATAACTGCTGTTTCTGGACGGGTGCTGCTTTTGCTACGGAGGATGTGCAAATAAGTGGAGGAGGAAACATGGAATTTGTGACTGACAACAACTAGCACACTTTGCTCAGATGCTACGGGCAAAGTAGGCCGATCGACTGCTTAGAAAGTATGCTGCTAAACGCATTTCAAAATAAAAACTATGGCAGCGGTCATAAACACTGGAATGAAGAGTGTAGGGCAGTAGTAGCAGAGAGATTTCATCAAACAAAACATACTTCAGGGTGTACTTTGCAAACATACATGTTTCAATATTCACATTTTTTTTTACTTTTCAAAAGAAAATATAGCTCTTCTCTTTAATTATAATCTTTTTTTAAAACATTAATTGCATATAACATTTTTTAAATTTACTTTATATATACTTTTTTGTATCTCTAGCACCCTTGTCTTCAACTAAGGGCTTGCAGAAAAGACAGTCATGCAAAGTAGTCATGCTGGTAAACAAAGTTACAAAAATGCATTTTTTTTCCCATTGTTCTTATTGTTCATCCTTTTTCCTTTTTCATGTATGAATAGGCAAGAGTCAGTCTCTGCTTAGGTTCTTTCAAAAAAGCTTTTTTTCCAAACCCTGTGGGGTAAATTATGTTGCACACCCCAGCATGAAGCTTCTTTTCTTGCATCTTTTCTACCAGCAATTCTCTTTTCCAGCTTGTATGAGACCTTGACTCTTTTTTTTTTTCTATCTTCTCTCTCACTGGACTCTTCCCGGACAGGAAACCCTCTCCAAAGCCATGGAGCGTCGTAGATTTGTTTATCAAAATATAGATTTGTTCTCTTTGTACATGTCCACGTTTGCTCTGCACTTGGTCTGTTTCACTGAATATCTCCTTTTGGTCGAAAAGGACTCCTCCCTCCTGAACTTCACCGTGACATTGTGTTGCCAGTGAAGCACTTGTTGGCAGCAAGAGGGACAAGAGAGAGGCAGGGCAGTATGCATCAGAGGAGTCTTGTGCCTAAACGGCAGTGTTGGGGAAATTGTAATCACATTGGTCCCCTTCACAACAACGCTGTAATTTAGGCAGGGCAGGTCAATAACCTAACAGGGTTTGACTCTTTGAGTCAGTCTATTTACTTCTCATGTCTGTGTCACCAATGTATGGGGACATTTCCTTCATGTGCAGTGAGGCACCGGAAGCTACTGGCAGTAAAAGGACCAAAAGACGATGATTAGTATGAGAGAGAGTAGCAGCCTCACCTTATATCAAATACCTTTACTAATCTACTTGACATTACAGAGGGTCATTCAGCAAGTGCATGCTAAAAGACCTTTGGTACTCAACATAGATTTCCGTGCAAGCCCACACCAGTACATAAGAGATAAGGATAAGTCTTTTCACACTATTTAGTGATAAAGACTTTTTTGGGCGAGTATAAAATGGATTTCTATGACTTGTTTCAGGTAATGCTACATGTGCTTTGATTGTTCAGCTTCAGAGTTAGTGCTGTTTGATGAGCAGGGCAGTACTTCAGTCTAATAGAAGTTAATGGAAGACTATACAAGTGCTAAACTTTAACAAGGGACGATCGGGGTGTGCTTTTAAAGACTGCATTTATGATTCTTCTGGTATTTGTGCATTGAACAAGACCAATCCTTTGTCTCTCATGTGCTCCCTAAATGACTTTTTTTCTTTTTCACTGGTAAGGAATACAAGAGTGACATCTAGAAGATCCCTTGAATGCATAATTTTTCTCTCTCGATGAACTGTGGATAGATTGGTTTTTAGACAAGGTATTTCCCAACCAACAGATGCTACAGTGTGTTAGCAGAAATGCTACATTGTTCAGTGAGTCCAGGTGATAGCAAGTGCTAACTGGAAAACTTGCTCAGTTTTTCAGCACTGCAGACGGTGCTGATTTGGTCTATAAGCAGGATGGCGTTCTAACACTGTCAGAGAGATGTTGTCTGGAATGTGTCATCAGGAGTCCTTTTTTCTCCAAAAGTGTGTCAGTGCAATGCTCAGTCAGCTTGAAGGAAAGGGTAAGGGGGTATAGGGAGGAGAACTGGGTCAGGGGCAGGTGAACTGTTGTCAAAAATTGTGGTCGGCGATCCAAGAGGCTGCTTTGGTAACAATGTGAGGAGCAGACCATGTGATATATATTTATATATATGTTTTGTTTTTTATCGTGATTACCCTCTGGTCTCTCTCGTCACCTCAAAGATCTCCTTTCAACTGTCCATCCGTGAAAAGCCTGTTGCTTATGTGGCTCCCGCCGCAATTATGTTTACCAGTTACTGACTCCTCCTAACAGAGAAGGCGAATGCTAGAAACTTAACACTGCAAAGAGAAAAACAGAGAGCCATTAATGTTAGGTTCACAGCATCTAACTTACATTTGAAATACTCTCATAGAGTCACACCAACATTTTACTGCTTTAATAATCATATCACATTTGTTTAGCTAAAGTTTTTCAAATGTAAATCTAAATTTTACTTAATTATTCAGATTCTGACAACACATCCTCATAATATCAGCAAAATCAAGAGTGAAATAATCAGGAGTTACTATTACCTGTCAACTGCAGTTTAACTGTGCCAGAATGAAGTGCACAAGTTCAAATAACATGCTTCAACAACAGGCTATAGTGACACAAACAAACATTTAAATATACTGTAAAAATGAATCAATCCCAAATAGCAAAATCATGACATTAAAACATTAATAAATGCAAAAAAAGGTACATTTTTCAAAATAAACAATAGTTGCATCCTAACCTGTGCAGTACAATTGTAAAGTAGCATGTATACCTCACACTTACTGTAACCTCTAGATAAAAGCAAAATTACACACAAAAAAAGGAATGTTTTTGCTTTAGAATAGTTGTAGTTTTATAAAAAGAAACATTCACAAGGCTTTTTCCTTTATGTTAATTAAATATTTTGCAAAATATCTGTGTAAAACAGGTCCTGGTAAAATCACTCCTTCACATTTCGTACTTTTGCATGTTGTAGGCTCTGCTTTTTCAAGTATTAAACAGTGCCATCTACAGAGGTTGTATTCACATCAGTTGCACATCAATTCATATTTACCAGAGAAATCTGTCATTCTCAATTTGAAATTGATGCTTTAAAATGACTGCCAATAGTGAACCTGTACACTATTGTAGGAAAATGTGGTTATAACACTCCTATGAACAATATACATATACCAGTAGAATATTATTTAGAGTTGCTGTGTTCTGATCAGAGGTCCTAAGCCTGCCATACTGTATTTTATAAGAGTATAAAGGCCCAAAAAGGATCAGAACCATAGGTAAAGTCAATTGTGAGTGAGAGTTAAATTAAATCACATCAGTACTAAGCATATATGAACCTTTATTGCTACAATTATTAAAACCATAAACTGCAAAGACAAATGAATTAAAACCACATAGTGGCATGACATTGATATGAAAGATGTAGTACATATGTAGGAAAGGGGCAAAGTGGTAAGCTTAAGGTACTGTACAAGGTACATAAAAACGTTTCTTAAAGGCTTTTTTTTTGTTATTAAATCATGGAATGCTAATCCTGTGTTACATAAATACAAATAGATACAAGACAACATCTCTTATTGTAGCGCTATAACTTCTTCTTTATGCTCTTCATCCCACATTTTCTGTGTTGCTGTCCAAACAATGGCAGGCTGGATGGATTGGAGACTCAAGCAAAATTTCTAACACTCCTCCTGACCAATAAAATAAAAAATTTGTATATTTGGTGTAGAAAATGTCCACATATTCCATGAGCAACTGATTAATTAAGTGCAACTAGGCCTCCCAAGTTAAAGGATTGAATATACAGTTTGTTTGTTTTTTTATTAGAATTTGAAAACACAATAACTACTTAACATGTATAAAAATAGTCAAAACAGTCAAATGAAAAAAGAATGTCTTACAACAAATCCAGTAAAGGTATTGAATGTTGGCACTGTTCTCTCCAAATATCCTCTCATGCACTAATAATTAAGTTAAATAAGTTAATTAAGTAAGTAGAAATTTGCTTTTACTTTAATTAAGTAAGTTAATATTAAAGCTCACTGGCCAACAGTCTTTTAGCCAAACTACTAATTTTCCTAATTTTTGCATAAAAAGTAGATTAGTGGCAAAATTAGACTTTATTGTGATTTCTAATGGAACAAAATTTGGAAATAAACATGTTTTTTCCCCCAGATAATATAAATATGTTCTTTATTATATTCATGTTCTATTTAGTTATATAATTTAATTTTTTTTTTTTTTTTTTGCAAAAATTAATTGTCATATAGTATTTATACCTGTACTACCTCTCATAAATATCTATTAATTTTCTTTTTTTTTCTGATTACAGTGCTAGTACATAAACGGGACTCTGGACCTTTTAGTTATAGTAAAATCAACTATTCTCAATTTTAGAACTGATTCATGTTAGAAATTGAACTAGAACCAAAACATAATTAGTCAGCCACAGATTTTGCAAGTTCTACTTAAAAATAGTAACACTTTAACTCCAAGACACAATATCAGAAAAAAAATCTAGGAATATCGTAGGTTTTTAAAAACTTTCTTTGATAAATTATGGTGAAAAATAAGTGTTTGTTTAGCCACAAACAGGCAAGATGTTTGGCTGTAACATTTTCTTTAAGACGGAATAGGCCGGACATCCTGTTACAACCTGTTCCCTGTATTAATGGCACCTGCTTAAACTTGCTATTTGTGTAAAGAGACTTGCACCAGGCAGGGAAGAGTCAACCTACTATAAGCAAACAGGTTGGTGTGAATAAAAGGGAGAAACTGAAAGAAAATGGAAGACATATAAAGCCATTGATAAACTCCCTCAATCTCTTTATTTACAAATAAATTATTAAAAAAAAAATATACTAAAATGTGATTTCCTGGATGTTATTCATTTCATTTTGTCTCTCATAGTTGAAGTGTTCCATTTCAAAGCAGGAAAACTTGCGCAAACAGTGGCTGACTAAATACTTTTTGGCCACAGTGTATTTCAAATAAAATGTCTTAAAGGTATAGTGGAGGATTTTGACAAATTTTTGAAAAGACCCACCCCCTCCACTTTAAAAGAAAATGCACATGCACAACCCTGTACCCGCTCCCAAGAGGGAACGCCTATTAAATGTGTGAGAGCGTGCACAATCCCATTTCTCCTTGTGCACGCTCTGTTTAAAAGTTGCTGTTTTCATTGCTTATACAAGCTTACTTTCCAAAAGAAGATCTGCAATTTTTCCACTATGTCAGACTCACCACCGGTAAGTGAAAATGGGGACGAGCACGTAGGACGAACTTATGTAAGCATATCACCAGAATGATTGACAGTTAGGAGGACCACTTATCTTGATGATCCACCCGGAAAAAGAATATCCTCCACTATACCTTTAATGTGAGATACTTTCAAAATTGACCATATGTTTGGTCAACTGAAGACATCCGTTTGTAGAAACTCATCCAAAAAAAAAGTTTTGTAGCTGATTATTTTGTTTTATAATTGCTAAAAGCCAATAAATTATTGCTTAAGCATCTAAAGTTCTAACACATTAAGGTCATGGTCTGAAAAGTAAAATAAGCTAGCAGCTAGCAACAAGTGCTCCAAGCTTGTTAGTAAATACATTTAAGCAGACATTTTTTTTTTTTTTTTTGTATTTGTCTTTTGTTATATGCATTTGTGGAAAATTAGGATAAAAGCTCAAATCAACTTGCAATAAGAAGAATATTCAACTAACAATGGGAAGAAGTTATGATCTGGTTTGCCTTACCACAATAATTCGTAAACTATTCTAGATTATTTTTAACATATTTTGCTTCAATATAGCTTCCAAGGCATGGATCTTTGAGTTGGTACATCTAAACAAATCAATTGTTTTGACTAAAGTAACAATTTAACCTGCAGTTAAATTATGTTTTTGAAAATAGTCTTACTGAATAACTAAAAGTTGTTTAAAACCAGAATCCCATCCTTACATTTTTGCACATTTTGTATTCCTCTCACAGCAGTTTAAAAAACAGACAACATTTTAAAAAACACAACTCATTTTTCAAACTTAGTCAGAAACAGAGTTCTATCATTTTTCAGCGAACCAGTAATACATAAATAAGTAATCCTTCCTGCCAAACTAATTAAAAGTATGCAATAAAAAAACTAAAATAAATTTCAAAACCCTCTTATAGAAATGTTTTTCTACATTTTTAATAAACAGCAACAGGTAGACAAATAGATATATAGTATCAGAAGGTTATTGTCATTACTTTTCTACTGTAATACTCAAGACATTATAAAATAGACAACAGAAGTAAACCATTAATTCAAAAGTAATATATTTTACAATTTCTAACATCATATTCGCTTGTGTAACAATTGTTTTTTAACCTTTATTTCTTAATGCAACTGTATGCTATCACTTTGCTAAAGTAGCAGACATATGTAGGCACAATGTTAGCATGCCGACAAAGTGTGCTTCTTTTGTGTCGTATAACAGATGTTCTTTAACACATTCTCTCGTTAGATGCATCCTTTTCAGAAGGCGGTAGAGCATTCAGTATTTAGTGGAATAAAATTCTGTTATAAACATTTAGTTTTTCTAGAAATACAGATGTATGAAAAGGGCAAGAGTCATGCCAAGGTACAATACTAGAGTGTTAAATTGTAATAGCAGCCACTTCACCCAAATTGAATTGCTAAACAGCAAGTCAATTTTAATTCAGTGGATAACTTCAATATGCATCATGGAGGAGTACTTTGGAGCGGACCCAAGGTGCAAACAGGCAGACAGAGGCAGCTCTGTGAGTGAAGGTGTTTATTCATTGGTACCGGATGTGGAAATAGTGTGGCGAAGTAAACATATTCACCCGTGAGTGTTTAATCTAACAGAGCCACATAAATAGAATGTAGTGTCGATGAAAACAAAGAACTAATTGTGTGAAACAGGTGGAAACGATAGTACTAGTTGGGCAACTAAAGCATGATTAAAGCTAAGCAAGGATACTGGAAATAATCAAACAGATAAAACAATAAATAAGGACTAAACAAGACATTACGGAATATAACGATCCAAGATTAAACTACACTGCAAAAATGATACAGAAATAATTTCTTACATTAACTTTATTTACCATTAATTTGAGTCGGTAAATAAGTGGAATTGCCAATGGAATGAGCATGTTTAATCTGAAAACAAAAAGATAATTAGATATTATGCACTTGAAATATGACAATGGAATATTTTTGTCTTATTCTAAAGATAAATTGTCTTGTTCCATTGGCAAAATGTCTTACTTACTTCCTCAATTCAAGAAAAAACCCCAACTT